TAAACGGAAAATGAAAGTTGATGATAATATTGACAAATATAAGGTATGACTTGTTGTCAAAGGTTATAGACAAAAGGAAGGCCTTGATTACTTTGACACTTACTCGCCAGTAACGAGGATAACATATATTAGGGTGTTAGTGGCACTAGCGACCGTATATGGTCTTGAAATCTATCAAATGGATGTTAAAACAGCTTTCTTAAATGGAGAATTGGAGGAAGAGATTTACATGAAACAGCTTGAGGGTTTTGTGGTTCCGGGTAAAGGAAAGAAAGTGTGAAACTTGTTAAGTCGCTTTATAGACTTAAACAAGCACCCAAATAATGGCATGCCAAATTTGACCAAACAATATTGGCAAGTGGGTTTAAAATCAACGAGTGTGACAAATGTGTTTACATTAAAAACACTCCAGGATATGAAGTCATTGTTTGTTTATATGTTGATGACATGTTGATAATGAGCAAAAATATGGCAAATATAAATGCTACTAAGTGCATGTTGGCTAGCAAATTCGACATGAAAGATTTAGGAGTTGCTGATGTAATCTTAGGAATCAGAATTCACAAGACTTCACAAGGTCTAGAATTATCACAGTCTCACTACATTAAAAAGGTACTTGACAGGTTCAAGTATTTGGATTTCAAAATTGCTAAGACTCCAATTGACGTGAGTTATGCACTTCAAAAGAATGAAGGTGAAAGTGACTCACAACTGGACTATGCAAGAATATTGGGAAGTTTGATGTATATCATGAATTGTACGCGACCAGATATAACATGTGCTATTAGTAAACTGAGTTGGTTTACAAGTAATCCCAATCAAATACATTGGATGGCAATGAAACGAGTTTTAGGGTATCTGAAACATACCCAAAATTACGCTTTGCATTATAACAAATATCCCTCCGTGATTGAGGGATATAGTGATGCACATTAGATCACCGGATCATCCGAAGATAAATCCACGAGTGGATATGTTTTCACACAGTGTCTTGGGAATCATCCAAACAAACGTGCATCGCCCGTTCTACAATGGAATTTGAATTCATAGCTTTAGATAAGGCTCATGAAGAAGCTGAATGGCTCCAAAATTTCTTGGAAGATATTCCATTTTGGCCCAAACCTTTGGAACCTATATGTATATATTGTGATAGTCAAGCGATAATAGGCAGGGCATGGAGTGTTATGTATAACGGATAATCTCGTCATATACGACGGAGACACAATACCGTTAGACAACTACTCTCTAGTGGTGTTATCACGATTGACTATGTAAAGTCAAGATATAACGTGTCGGATACACTTACAAAAGGCCTATCTAGAGAGGCAGTTGAAAGATCATCAAACGGAATGAGGTTAAGGTCTAGGACAAGTCATCATGGCAGTAACTCTACCTAGCAGACTGGAGATCCCAAGAGTTAGTTTCAAAGAGATCAAACAAAGTTATGAATGATGGTTCAACATTGTCAAATAACTCAACCCATTCTCGTGATGAAGACAATGTTCATAAATCAAGGTAAAGCATTAAGGCTTTTTGATGAGTCAATAAAGCTTAAAGCTTTTTAATGATTTGCTAAGTACGGCAGGATATGACCAGATAGTGTGTCTATAGGATCACACATTTAGAAATTACCTATGTGAGTGTGAAGTGTAAGCCGCTTCAAGGGGAATGAAAGTAAAGGCACATTCTCTAAGCACTCATGAAACCAGACGGTGTTCATGGCCGTAACGAATACAACAGTGAAAACCATAGATGGTTAAGGGTTGATTGTGTGACTTATGTTGTCTAGGTATACAACAAAGCTCGACGGTGCAAAGGTATCAAATCTACTGATTAACCGAGTATATCCGATATAAGTTCATTATGAAAAGTTCAAAGGGAAACCTACTTATCGAGATGCAATTAATCCTTGCCTGTAAATCACACACTCGTCCGTGCATTCCTTTGTCTTATAGCCATTCCCCATTCATATGGGAGATTGTTGGGATTAAAGATTTGTGAATAGGAAATTGAGGGAAGAAAGTGGAGGAAAAGTGAGCTCCATTTTGCTTTAGAAAGAGCAAAGTGTCCCTCATTGGTGGTGGAAAGAAAAATGAATTTGCTTATATTGAGACAACACTTCCCTTGGTATTAAATGGGTTGGAAAGAAAGTAAGTCTCGCGTCGTCGTCGTCGTTCGCTCGGTTCGGCTTAGGATTCGGAATTGGTCAAAGATCGATTGACTGATTAATCTTTTTAGACAAAATTTCTTTCAATTATATAATTAATTAACAAAAATTTAACCTGGAATAACCCAGGACCCGCGACGCGACCCAGTCCGGTTCGTTTTCTTTTTCGGATTATTTTAAATCTGTTTTCCCTTAATATTTCAAATAGAAATATTCCCACCTGTTCCAACAGCCATGACTGTTTTTGAAAGGTTGCAAACCTTTTCAAAAAATCCCAGAATCTTTCCTTACAAAATTTTCTGATTTTCTTCTTCTTTTTCTTCTTCTTCTTCTTCTACACGAAATTTTTTAGTGTGTTTTACAACCATTGAGTGGTTCGAAGTTCATCAGAGTTTTTGGTACCAATATACTGGTGAGTAAAAATCGTTCTATCCTGGGAGGATAATATTTCAGAACCTCGGGTATTTGAAGGGAATAGTTTCCTTAAGGACACGCTGTGCATTCGGTGGGCTCGATTTATTTCGAAACTATTTTCAGATATTATTTCGACATTCTGTTGCTACTAACTTTCTGTTTCTGAAGTTTATTATTTTTTATTATTTATTGCAGTAATACAGATTGAATAACAACTACTACATTGGCTAGCCAGTCTGGATATCTTACCTATCGATTGAACCGATATTAAGTAAGCGAGTTACCTCTTCTTTGACGAATTTATTCCTGACTTCGGCAATCAGGCATTTCTTTTGTCTTACCAAAGGTATGTTGGGATCCAAGTTTAACTTGTGTACGGCTACCTCTGTCGGGATGTCTTTCATATACTCTTGCGACCATGCAAAACAATTGGCGTTAGATTTAAGGAATTTAATAAAGTCGGACCTGAGTTCTGGGTGCAGTCCTGTCCCCAAGTGGTATTTCCTTTCTAGGAATTCTTCAAACAATGCCACTTGCTCCAGCTCTTCCGCTGTGGACTTCGTTGCACCGGTCTCTTCTAGAACTTGAAAATATCTCGGCACATGATAATATTCTGATGCCTCTGCCCCCGGACTAACTTCATTTAGTTCGGGAGTAGGTGTCGGTCCCTATAATTGCTATGCCACGTGTTCCTTTCCTTTGCTACTAGAGACCGAAATTGCATTCATCTCCCTTGCCGCTAGTTGATCACCTCTTATCTGCTTAATTCCTTCGGGTGTTGGAAACTTCAGCAATTAATGATACATTGATGGTATAGCTTTCATCTCGTGCAACCATGGCCTTCCCAGAATGATGTTGTATCCCATATCACCATCTACCACTTCGAAAAGAGTTATTTTTATTACTTCTTTAGCGTTCATGAGTAATAAAATTTCTCCTAGAGTTGTCACACTTACGAGGTTAACGAGAGCAACATTCTCTCCTTCTGGAATCGGGTAACGAACTCTCGTAGCAGCTCAGACTCTCCTTGCACAATCCTGAATATGTAGGCCTTTCGGGCCTGTACTTTTCTAGCCCCGGCATGAGCCTTGATGAAAGAATCCGCGAGCATTTCAAATGAGTCTATGGAATGCTCGGGTAACAACGAATACCATGTCAAGGATCCCGTTGTGAGGGTTTCTCCAAATTTCTTTAGCAACACAGATTCAATTTCGTGAGGAGCTAAATCATTTCCCTTTACCGCCATTGTGTAGGTGGTAATATGCTCCTGGGGGTCTGAAATTCCTTCATACTTTGGCGCTTCAAGCATTTTGAACCGCTTCGGGATTAACTTTGGTGTCTCACTTGGCTTGTATGTCAATTGAGTACACTTTTTCGAGTTCAGACCTTTCAGCACTGGTGGCGCGCCCGGGATATGGTTCATGCGGGTGTTCACTTCCCTCATAAACCGTAAAAGTTTATTCTTGAAAGGATCATTCTCGTTGTTGAGTTCGGATCCGCTCCCCCTTCCCCATCAGAACCAATTTCACCCCGGGGAATGTTGTTGTCGACCCTCTGCGTTGTTTGATTCACGGGGACCCCAGGAGGAATCAGATCTTGTCTGTTTGCATTATTTGAAGCTCCCAACAACGCCTGCTTCAACTCCGTCATAACGTTATCATATCGCGTGAGGTGACCTAGAATGATCGCATGTTGCTCTTGCAAGACCCTTACTGCGTCAATGACTTGTTCCTTATCAGCATCATCGGGAGTTGTCTCCCGAACATGTCGAGGATATTGCCTGGCATGCACCAGTGTAGCGTCATTCCCCTCATTATGGGTGTCACTGATTGAGTCCTCGAAATAAGGTTGATCCCCTCGAATCTCGAGGTTGTGCATGTTGTTAGCAGTGTTATCTGTCATTTCTTATGATTTTTTCTAAGACAAAATAATCAAAACACGTTAGTAAAAAGGGCAAGGATCAATTTAATTACACAGTTGTCTAGGCCCCACGGTAGACGCCAAATTATTTATCCGTAAAATGGTACAGTTGAATTTATACGTGGTTTCTAGACAAATGAATTAATTTGACCCTGAAATAATTTAATAATCGAAGAATTATTAAATTAGTGTGACGGTCAAAATAAATAAGTTTGACTTTTGAAATCTGAGAGCCACCACATAAATAGAGACGGATGGAGCATATAGTTCCAGTCAACAAGGATATAGAAATTAGTGTGAAGGTACATAGCCCTAAATATGGTACTAACCAACATTTCTTAAAAAATTACAAGTAAAATATTAAATTTTAATAGTATATAAAATATATTGAAATACTTTATCGGATATTTTTTTATTTATTTCAAATTTAAACACATAATAAAATTTATGGCTTCGGCACTATATATATATATATATATATATATATACATGTTGAGTCTTAAGGCAGAACAAGTAAGTCAAGAGACTAAATATGAGAGAATTCTGCTTGTGGATGTTAATTTTGTTCTTAGCAAATGAGTGGTGTAGCTGTTATGGTTGTTGGAAAGAAGAAAGAATTGCTCTTTTGAAACTCAAAGAAAACATAAACTACACAAATGGTGCATATTTTTCAACATGGGTAGCTAATGAAACTTCAAATTGTTGTCAATGGGAAGGAATTATTTGCAGCAACAGTAGCAGAAAAGTCACAGAGTTGTCAATATCAGTGAAGACTTTTATTAAAAAGGATATTTCTGGCATTGAAAGTTTAAATACTGATAATTGGAGAAATTGGCATTTCAATGCATCTTTGTTTCTTCCTTTCAAGAATCTCAAAGCTCTTCTTCTCCGCGGACATTCTATAGCTAATTGGATTGAGAATGAAGGTTCGTCTTCTAACTGTTTGTAAATATGCCCGAGAAGCGGTTGGTGAATATGTTTCCCATAGTATTTAAGTTATATACAATAGGGGCAGCCTCGTGCACTAAACATTTCGTATTCACGTAGGGTTCGAGAAAAGGCTGCACCCTAGAAGGTGTAATGTAGATGTGACCTATAAGTCATGGATTCGAGCCGTGAAATAAGTCATTGATCATGGTAGGCTGATATGACCTATAGGTCATGGGTTCGAGCCGTGAAATCAGCCTACCATGATCAACGATTGATTCCACAGCTCGAACTCATGACCTATAGGTCACACGGAGACAACTACTGTTGCTCCACAGTAGGGGCAGCCGGGTATACGAAGTATGCCGTATTCATGCAGGCTATGGGGAAGGGTTGCACCCCAAGGAGTGTGACGTAGACAGTTTACCCTAATGCAAGTATCGATGGTTGATTCTACGGCTCAAACCCATGACCTATAGGTCATACAAAGACCCGTGGCGAAGCCAGTAAATTCAATAAGGGTGTTCAAATTTTGAACATCCTTTGCCAGTGGGCTATGCAAGAGTGTTCAAAATCTATTTTTTAATCAATAACAAGTAATATCTTACTTTATACGTAGTATAATATTTTGGCGAAGGGTGTTAAGTTGACCACTCTTGGGTCAACATAGCTTCACCCCTGACGGAGCCAAGGTTCCCCATCCTTAAGTTATATACAGTGATAGTGTAATTTTTGTAACACTATTAGAACAACATTAATCGAGTGTAGCGGATTATTATTCTATAAAGAGTTCTTTGTTTGTTATTTGTCAACTTAACCTCAGGCTGTGAAAACTTAAAACTGTCAGTACACAAAATAATTTTTTGATCAGTTTATTTACAGGTTTCGAAAAACTGAAACAACTAACAAAACTGGAAAAGCTAGATTTGGCTGGGAACAACTTCAATCGCAGCATATTTCCATCTCTTAGTCAACTTACATCTCTCAAGTCACTGAACCTCGGACGTAACAACATTGAATCAGGTCATAACTCGTGATTGATTTCCTCTGTTTACCACTTAATTCGAACTATTTTAATATCGCCAAAACAACAATGACATATGTAACTCATCAATTTTCTTAATTCTCAGGTAATGAAAGATTGTCAGGGTTAAGCAATCTGGAGAGCTTAGATTTAAGCGTTAACAGATTGAATGATGAAAGTGTTCTCTCTGCTCTAGGTAGAAATTTCTCTCTTCAAAGACATTTATTTACCCTTTTACTTTGGGAAAACGGTCATAATCACTTTTTTGTACCCTATGAAATATCTTAAATTTAACTCTTCGTTATACTTTGGGGCTATTCATACTCTTACCCTTAGCAAATTGTCTCATATTTGTCCTTGACTTTAACAGAGATCCAGTAGGGATTGGGTGAATTCCACGTGTCAAAATACTTTGAGAAAAATCCATATTTACCATTCTACTTTGGGTAAATATGAACCTTTCTCTCGAAGTATTTTTGATACGTGAAAAAATTCACTCAGTCCATGCTAGATCTCCGTTAAAGTCAAGGCAAAATGATACAATTTGCTAAGATATTTGGTATGAATGACTTCAAGGGTATGAATGACTTCAAGCATAACAGATTATAAAAGTAAGATATTTGGTACAGTAAATTGGTAAATTTGATCCTTTTCCATTTTACCATTGCTGCTTTTGTTCCTACATGGGAAAGTTTCCTGATAACAGTTTATAAATACTTGACCAGAGCTAAATACATTTAGTACAACTTTGAAGAAGCTCAATATAAGGTACAACAGTTTTCAAAGCTTTATGCCAAATGAAGGTACATTTTGTTCCTTGAGCTTATTGTTTTCCAGATGATCCTGTCGTAATGATGTGCATGCGATTTAGATATATATGTATTACGTACTCAATCAAAATATCAAGCTCAAAACTCAAAAGAATTGAAAACCGCAAAAAACCCACTTACAACTCCATAGAGCTCCATTTGCATTAAAAATGTTTGAAATCCAAAGTATTTTAATAGTGCCATTTTCAATGAATTTGAAACTCTTACACTTTAGTGTTAATTCCAAATCCTAAACATTATAGTCTTATGGTAACTAAAAGTACAATTTTGCTGGAAATACTTACAAGTACCAAAGTTTTGCAAAGCATTTAGTCGTCCCCTTTTTCAAACAACAATTAAAATATGCATGCTATGATTTTGACATATTTATTGTCATCAGTTACACTAACTACAAGCATAACTTTGCAAACCTATAATGAACTATGTGTTGATGATTCTTTTGTGTTTCTTTTACATGCAAGAGTTGGGAATTCTGAGAAATATAAAGTATTTACTTTTGGATGGGAATACATTGGACAAAAACTTTCTACAGAGCAGTGGTGTAATGCCGTCCCTTAAAGTATTATCAGTATCTAACTGCGGCCTGAATGGAACCCTACCTATTCCAGGTAATCTTAAACAACCAACTGCAATTAGAATGAATGATATATTTTCAATTGAAGTGATAGCTTGACAAGGAATATTCCATGCACATTATTGTAGGACACAATTGATTAAGAGCATATGTTTGTCTGAGTTAACATAACACAGTTTACTTCATTTTACTTTTCTCACTTACCATCTTTGTTTGAAGTTTCCTAGCAGTTTGGTTTGCATGTTTCCTATATTTTCTGCAAAGGCTGCAATATAGACATGTAATAACAGATAGCTATTTGTTTTTCATATAGGTTTATGCAATCTAAAATATCTTGAAGAACTAAGTCTCAGCTTCAACAACTTCCATGGAAATCTTCCTCCATGTCTTGGAAACTTAACATTACTTCGGGTAATTGATCTCACTCAAAATCAGTTTACGGGAAATATTGCCTCATCTCCACTTTCAAGTCTTTTGTCCCTTGAATATCTTTTGCTGAAAAACAACAACTTTGAAATCCCAATTTCATTCGAGTCATTTGCTAACCATTCAAACCTTAAGTATGTCATTCCTGACGGCAATTCATTAGTTGTAAAAACTTCTACTAGAAATTGGATCCCAAAGTTTCAATTGGAAGCCTTGTCTTTGACTAAAAACTGCTCTGTAATACCAAATTTCCTTCATTATCAACATCAGTTGCGTCAACTTAGTCTATCTGACTGCAACATTGGTGGAAACTTTCCAAATTGGTTGTTGGAGAATAATCCTAGACTTGAAGAAGTTTATTTGGATGGAAATGCGTTCACTGGATCTCTTCATGAGTTGTCCTTCCTTCCTAATATGAAATTTTTTGATATCTCAAGGAACAAGATTCAGGGACAACTTCCTCCCAACATCAGTTCCATTTTCCCGAATATCTTGAGGTTAAAAATGTCCAACAATATGCTTGAAGGCATGTTGCCTTCAAGTTTTAGCGACATGAAGAACCTACTTTTCTTGGATTTAGCAGATAATAAGTTATCAGGAGACTTACCGATTGAATTGGCTCGTAATGGATTATTCTTTCTGAGACTGTCGAATAACATGTTGGAAGGGGAAATATTTCCAGTGTCAACCAACATCAATAATCTTCAGTACTTATACTTGGATGGAAACAACTTCTCAGGCTCAATTCCACAAAAGTTGTCCTCTGCTTCCTTGAGTTCACTGGATTTAAGTAACAACAGTTTGTCTGGAAATCTACCTTCTTGGATTGGTTACATCCCCTCATTAACCTCCCTCGCGTTATCTAGAAACCATCTAAAGGGTCCTATTCCAGCAGATTATTGTAGACTTGAAAAGCTTGAGGTTTTAGATCTCTCAAGAAACAACCTTGTTGGTGTGATTCCATCATGTTTCAGTGCTTCCCAAAACCTTAAACGTGTCTATTTGAGCAAAAACAATTTACGAGGGCAATTCGATGTGTTCTCAAATAGCTCAGATTTAACGGTATTGGATCTTAAAGATAACAACTTCACCGGTTCAATTCCAAAATGGTTAGGCAGTATTGAAATAAACACCTTACTCTTGAAAGGAAACCATCTTCAAGGCAACATTCCCACAGAGTTGTGCCATGCGAGTGAATTGAGAATCATGGATCTGTCTCATAATAATCTCTCGGGACCTATTCCTCGTTGCTTTGGAAACATAATGCAAATAGCAGGGATCAGTGAAGCATATCCCTACGGTCCAATATTTAGTTATCCAAGACTCCAGACGTGGGGTAGAGATACCATGGTATATGTAGAAGATTCAATGGAGAGATCGACAGTTTCCTATCAAGATAACTATGCATGGGTTGGGGCAGAGTTTACAACCAAATATAATACGTATTCCTATGAAGGTAGCATTGTTGATTATATGTTTGGGATTGATCTTTCTTACAACCAATTAAGTGGTGACATACCTAAGGAACTCTGTAATCTTACTGAAATTCGGGCACTAAACTTGTCACATAACCACATAACTGGCGCGATATCATCAGAATTCTCAAATCTCCAGAATATTGAGAGTTTGGATCTATCATACAACAACTTGACTGGGAGGATTCCCTCTCAACTTGTAGAGTTGACAAGTCTAGCAATTTTTAGCGTGGCACATAATAATTTAACAGGTATGACTCCACAGCGTACATCTCAATTTGCAACTTTCACTGATAGCAGTTACCAGGGAAATCCTTTTCTTTGTGGTACTCCATTACATATCAATTGCATGGAGACCAAAGAGATACCAATATCACCTCGTGCGCCAGATTTCTGTGAAGATGATACTGGTTTTCTAGATATGGAGTCGTTCTATATTTCTTTTCTTGTGGCATATGCAAATTTGGTGCTTGTAATTGCTGTAGTCCTTTGGCTAAACCCCTATTGGAGATATGTTTGGTTTTATTACATTGAGTCTTTTATGTATTCATGTTACTATCTTTTTGCTTCCAAATGTACATGACCTTTCATATTAATAGTCACTTTAATTGCGTTGCATAATTGCATTTCATTATGTAAATCGTGTGTGTGAGTTGTTCTTGGGTACCTTCAAGTTTGTTAATACTAGTGAAAGTTTTATTGATTTCCTTGTGTCATGCAAAAGCAATTTATCAAACGTTAGTGAAAAAATGAACTAGTGTGCTCTCAACAGGGTTTTATATCGACCTGCTTTATTAGTTTTGACATGGAGAGCTATAGAAAGTACTCAAAAGTAACTCGTTTTACTTTAACCACCAAAGGATGTGGTACAGTGGATGGGACTGCTCCTCTCTTAACCAGAGGTCTCGGGTTCGAGCCTTGGGTATGAAAAAATCCTTGGTAGGGAGCGCTTACCCCCTCCCCCCCGAATGGGGCCCTACCTGACGCGAATCCGGATATAGTTGGGCTCCAATATGGGTGCCGGACACCGGGTGGGAAATCAAAAATTTGTTTTACTTTTCTTCTTTTTATATGTTCTCTTCTGATTCAATTTGCAAGTAAAGGATGGCTTGCTTGTACAACCAAATTTATGTTTTCAGTAGGTAGAAGAGTATTGGACAAGAGTGGGTTGCTCTAGCGGTGAGTACCCTCCACTTTCAACCAAGAGGTTGTGAGTTCGAGTCACCCCAAGAGCAAGGTGGGAAGTTTTTGGAGGGACGGATGTCGAGGGTTTATCGGAAACAGCCTCTCTACCCCAGGGCAGGGGTAAGGTCTGCGTACACACTACCCTCCCCAGACCTCACTGGTAGGATTATACTGGGTTGTTGTTGTTGTAGGTAGAAGAGTATTGATATGTACAATGGTTTTCAAAAGGGAAAAGGCTCAAAAATGACCTCGTGGTATTTGAAATTGATCAATTATAACCTCTGTTTAAACTTGAGTCCAAAAATGACTCTGCCGTTATAGAATAGGTCTAATAATGCCCTTGTGTTATTCGAAATGGATCAATTATAACCCTCGTTTAAATTTGAGCCCACCAACGACCCTGCCATTAAAGAATGGGTCTAATACTGCTGTTTCTCTCATTTAGTAATGATTAGGGGTGTAAAATGAATATTTAAAAACCGACAGAACCGTGCCGAATCAATTTTTAGGTTTCTTTTAATAAAACCGTAGGTTTTTATATAAATCTATAACCTTACCGATAATTAGGGTAGGTTTTTTATTTTATAAAAATAAACCGAAAAAATATTGAACTGTACCGAATAAATTTACAAGCAAGAGAGAACGAACCAATAAATTTATATGTTTCACATGTAAATTTATTCGGTACGGTTCGATATTTTTTCGGTTTATTTTTATAAAATAAAAAACCTACCCTAATTATCGGTACTGTTATAGATTTATATAAAAACTTACGGTTTATTAAAAGAAACCTAAAAATTGGTTCGGCACGGTTCTGTCGGTTTTTAAATATTCATTTTACACCCCTAATCGTTACTAACTGAGAGAAATAACAGTATTAGACCCATTCTTTAATGACAGGGTCATTGGTGAGCTCAAATTTAAACGAGGGTTATAATTGATCCATTTCGAAAAACACAAGGTTATTATTAGACTCATTCTATAATGGCAAGGTCATTTTTGGATTCAAGTTTAAACGGATGTTATAATTGATCCATTTCAAATATCACAAGGTTATTTTTGGGCCTTTTTCCTTTTCAAAATGTGCTGCAAATATTTCCACTATTCTTTGCATTAGTTTGTAAAGGCATACTTGAAAGAGGTGACTAATTCATTGCTTCACAAAGAGGTTATTTAACATACAAGTATTGTAATTTAACTGCTGGTGTTGCTTGTATTTTGATCCCCTTAGACATGAATTATAATGATTTTGTTTCTCCGCAAAAGTAGCCTTAGAAATACTCTCCATTTCTCCTCTTTGAATTGCATCTCGTGAGACTTCTATTGGTCCATTTATGCCTGAGAAAACTTAGAAAAAATCAGTCGCAATTAAACAACTAAAAGAAGTAATTGTATGAGGAAACGGTCTCAGTTGACTTATTACAATCTGAATAGAAGAAAATGACCTTAAGATTCTATGGTTTTATTACTGATCTCCTTTGAAAATGTCCATATTACTAAAATAACACTTGTAAAGGACCATAAAACCCATCTTCCGAAACTGTACATTCAGTTCTTTATATTTAATGTATGGTTCCATCTTACTCAGAAATTTGGATCTGAGCCTTCTAATGAAAGATAATGGAAGGCAAAAATCGACAAGCTGGTGTGGCTTTCTTTACGATAGACCCTTATGAGCATAGCGAGAGCTTAGTGCATCGGGCTGCCTTCTTTTTATATTAATAAATTGCCAAAATTCTTAGATGCAATTAATGGTTTGAAAAATGCACACTGCTGAATGAGCCATTTCCTATATATGGTCCACTGAAATGAGTGCTAAGGACTTAATTACTAGCTCCTAAAGTAGCTGAAATTCTTTGACATTGGCACAAATAAATTATAAACAAAACAAAAGGAAGGAAGAAGAAGACGGCAAAGGAATCAAATTTTGTTGACTTGTTTAGCACAATAATTATCAAAGTATTGAATGAAACTTGTACGAAAATGACACTAGGCTGAAATCTTTCCTCATGTGAAAGGGTCTTAAGTCAATGATGGTGATAGTCAAGGTCGTCTATTTTTTTTTTCCAGCTTACCTTAAGTCAACCAAATTGCAAGCAATATTTTGATGCAAATCAGAGAAAAAGAAATGAATGAACTAATATTAGATTAGAACAAAATATAGGCACAGAAGGACAAGAACGACATATTAAAAGAATAAAATAAAAAAGCTGAAAGGGAGATAACTTAGAAATGTTGTTGCAGAAAATTCCACTCAAGTGTCTGCATCAATTAGTGCACTAAATTTTTCTTCAAAAGAAAGGTATGATTTTCAGTTTGCACTACGTATCTGTAGTGTTTGTGCAAAGAAAGTTGTTTTTACCTCTCTTTTTTTCCTTTTTCTCTTTTATGTAAGGATATATTGATTCTTGAACCATCAACCTCCTCCTCTTATATATAGTCTGATATATCTTATAGTCTTGACAATATTCAGTCGTCAAGTAGGTAAAGTAGGCATACGAACCAATTTGCCTTAGACTCTATTGGAACAAAGCAAAGAAAGAGGCGGAATGGATAAGGGCGATGTTGCTTGGCGCGAAGGCTACTGGTTCGGGGTTAAAGTACAGTACTGAAGTTCCTCGGACTTCCAGGCGGTTTTTCTTTTGTGCAGGTGTTCACTGTTGGATCTCGCCAATATAGCCCCCTATAATTTTCATTTGGTCTATGTAACTAGAGGTTGGTTTGAGTGATCTTCGAGAAAATAGTGAAATACAAGTAGGTAAAGAAGCAGAATATGACTAGCAAGATAGTATATTGGTGGTTGTTGATTTTGTTCATAGTAAATGGATGGTGGTGCTGTTATTGTTGTTGGAAAGAAGAAAGGACTGCTCTCTTGCAACTTAAGGAAAATATAAACTACACAGGTGGTAGTTATTTGCCATCGTGGGTTGCGAATGAAACCTCAGATTGTTGCCAATGGGAGGGAATTGTTTGCAGCAACACCACCAGAAGAGTCGGTGAGTTGGCCATTACTGTCAAGAAAATTAGTCAAGAAGAACAACTTAGGACTAATGGTACAAATACTGATGATATGTTGAAGAACTGGCTTTTCAATGCATCTTTATTTATTCCCTTCAAAAATCTCAAAGCTCTGCTCCTCCCTGGACATTCATTGGCCGGTTGGGCGAAAAATGAAGGTTCGTTCTCTCTATATACAACAACAACAATAATAAACCCAGTATATTAACACAAGTAGGGTCCGGGGAGGTTAGTGTGTACGCAGACCTTACCCCAAGGAGGTTGTTTCCGGTTATATACTAGGCACAAAGTTTTCTTAAAACTTGTGACCTTAAACATGCTATAACAATTCCATGGTTATAAGAGCATGTCATTACGAGTAAAATGAGAAATTTAAAGTTCAAGAGATTTTAAATATAAAAAAGGTGTCATTCTCTTTTAAACGGACTAAAAAGGAAAGAATGTCATACAAAATGAAATAGAGGGAGTAATACATATAAACAAAATGGTCCTGCCTATACACATAGGACTTATTAGTATGATCACAATAATTTGAATTACAACTTCCAAGTGTTAAACTATACACTGGTTTAAGAATGTTAAGTTCAAAGTATAATCTATTTCTGTCGAAAACTTGTCTCTGACATGTAATTTAGCATCTGTTTTACAAGTTTCTTGATAATCTGATTACAGGTTTCGAAAAACTGAGACAACTGGGGAAACTAGAAATACTTGATTTGTCTGGGAATCAGTTCAATCGCAGCATCTTTCAATCTCTTAGTCAACTTTCATCTCTCAAGTCATTGAACCTCTCACACAACAATATTGGATCAGGTTCCGACATATGGTTTACACACAACAAAATTGGATCAGGTTCTGAGAGATTGTCAGGCTTAGACAAGCTGGAAATCCTAGATTTGAGCGATAACAATCTAGATGATGAAAATCTTCTCTCTGCTTTAGGTAATTAAACTTGTATAGTTTCCCTTTTCCTTCTTTTTTCTTGGTAGCTTCATAACATAGTTTGTCCTTATAAATTTCTGGACAGAGCTAAATACATCTAGAACAGCGTTGAAGAAGCTCGATATAAGGTACAACACATTCCGAAGTTTTATACCAAATGAAGGTACACATACTTCCTGAAGTTTCTTCTTTCAGTTTATTTTATTCTACCCCATATATGTCTCTCTGTGCAAATATTTGATTTACACGCAAAGACGTTATCTTAAATATATAGATGTACATGAGCTGTAACTCTCATTATCTACATCTTGGTTAACAATATGTTGTTCCACCATTTTTAGGGTCATTTTCAAGTCCGCATTATCATTTCAACTCATGAATAGATTTTAAAGCATACTTTTTTCACACCTAAAACTACATGTTGATGATTGTTCTGTGTTTCGTTGGCATGTAAGAGTTGGGAGCTTTAAGAAATATAGAGTACTTACTGTTGGATGGAAACACGTTGGACGAAAACTTTCTCAGGAGCAGTGGTGTAATGTCATCCCTTAAAGTATTATCAGTAGCTAACTGCATGCTCAACGGAATCCTACCGCTTCAAGGTAATTCCAGATATAAAAGGGCAGCCCGGTGTACTAAGCTCTGCTATGCGCGGGCGGGGAAGGGCCAGACCACAAGGGTCTGTTGTACGCAGTCTTACCCTGCATTTCTGCAAGAGGTTGTTTCCACGGCTCGAACTCATGATCTCCTGGTCACATGGCAGCAACTTTACGAGTTACGCCAAGGCTCTCCTTCAAATTTCAAACATAGCATTCACCAAATTATCCTTTATACAACTAATCTCCTTGTTCATTTTATAGGCTTGTGTGATCTAAAATATCTGGAAGAACTAAGTCTTAGCGGAAACAGCTTCACTGGAAAACTCCCTACATGTCTAGGAAACTTGACATTTCTTCGGGTATTTGATCTGACCATAAATCAGTTTACTGGAAACATTGCTTCATCTCCGCTTTCAAGTCTCTTGTCCCTTGAATATCTCCTGTTAGCAAACAACAACTTTGAAATACCAATTTCATTCGAATCATTTGCTAACCATTCAAAACTTAAGTTCGTCACTGCTGACTACAACTCAGTAATTGTACAAACTTCTTCCAAAAGCTGGATACCGAAGTTTCAATTGGAAGTTTTGTCTTTAAACAACTGCTCTCAAATGCCAAGTTTCCTTCATTATCAACGTCGTTTAAGGCTTCTTCGTCTCTCAAAATGCAACATTGGTGGAAACTTTCCAAATTGGTTGTTAGAAAACAATCCTAGACTTGCAGATGTTTTATTGGACGGAAATGCATTCACTGGAAGTCTTGAATTGCCACTCCTTCCTGATCTAAAAGCTTTTGATATCTCCAACAACAAGATTCAAGGACAACTTCCTCCTAACATTGGGTCTATTTTCCCGAATCTTGTTATATCAACGATGTCCAACAATATGCTTGAAGGCATGTTGCCTTCAAGTTTTGGCGACATGAAAGATCTTGCAGTCTTGGATTTGTCATACAATAAGTTAATAGGAGACCTACCAATTGGATTGGCTCGTAAAGGATCCAAGTTAAATTTTCTGAGATTGTCGTATAACATGTTGAAAGGGGAGATATTTCTAATTTCAGCAAACATCAACAATTTGGAATATTTATACTTGGATAGGAACAACTTCTCAGGCCCAACTCCACAGAAGTTATCCACTGCTCCTTTGATTACATTGGATTTGAGTTACAATAACTTGTCAGGAAATGTACCAGCGTGGCTTGGTAACATCCCCTCCTTAACCTCCCTCGCGCTGTCCAGAAACCATCTAAAAGGTCATATTCCACCTGATTATTGCAGACTTGAAGGACTTGAGGTATTAGATCTCTCTGACAACAACCTTGTTGGCGTGATCCCGTCATGTTTCAATTCTTCTCTCGGCTTAAAACGTGTGTATTTGAGCAAAAACAAGTTACAAGGGGAATTCAACATGTTCTCAAACACAGATTTAAAAGTCCTGGATCTTAGAGATAACAACTTCAGTGGTTCCATTCCGAAATGGCTGGGCAGTACTCTTGAGATAACCACCTTACTCTTGAAAGGAAATCGCCTTCAAGGCACCATTCCAACACAGTTATGTCATGCTAGTAACTTAAGAATTTTGGATCTTTCTCACAATAATCTCTCAGGACCAATACCTCATTGCTTGGGAAGCTTAATGCAAATAGAAGGGATCAGTGAAGCATACCCATACAGTTCATCATTTGGATATTCAGGATTCCAGACATTTGGAGGAGATACCTTGATAAACATAGAATCCTCAATCGAATCATCATCGACAATTTTCTTTCTAGATAACTATGCATGGGTTGGAGCAGAGTTTACGACCAAATATAATACCTACTCCTACGAAGGTAGCATTGTTGATTATATGTCTGGAATTGATCTTTCTTGCAATCAGTTAAGTGGTGAAATACCTAAGGAACTCAGTAATCTTACTGAGATTCGGGCACTAAACTTGTCACATAACCACATAACTGGAACAATACTATCAGAATTCTCGAAGCTCCAGAATATCGAGAGTTTGGATCTATCATACAACAACCTGACTGGGAGGATTCCCTCTCAACTTGTAGAGTTGACAACTCTAGCAATTTTTAGCGTGGCACACAATAATTTAACAGGTAGGACTCCACAACGTACATCTCAATTTGCAACTTTTACTGAAAGCAGTTATGAGGGAAATCCTTTTCTTTGTGGTCCTCCATTACATAACAATTGTATGGAGACCAAAGAGATACCGATATCACCTCGTGCGCTAGATTGCTGTGAAGATGATACTGGTTTTCTAGATATGGAGTCGTTCTCTATCTCTTTTCTTGTGGCATATGCAAATGTGGTGCTCGTAGTGGTTGTAGTCCTCTGTGTAAACCCCTACTGGAGAAATGTTTGGTTTTATTTTGTTGAGTCTTTCATGTATTCTTGTTACTACTTTTTTGCTTCCAAAATGTAAACTGTACATATTAAGGTCATCGATAAGTTAATCATGCCTGAGTTCTGCTCCTATACCTTCTAGTTTCTTAGTACCAAGTAAATGATTATTGAGATGCTACTATCTGCTTTCCTATCAAATTCCAAATCAACATAACCATTTCAAAAATCATCAGCAAACACAAATCTTTTCTACTCTAGAACACAAACACATGATAAATGTCACTGTTAAAAGAACATACCTCAGCAAATTTAAGGAAAAGACTGTATAGCCGGCCGCTGTAAAAATTAGATTCACGTACTAATCCATAACGATCAAAGTTGAAGCATCATCCTATTGGTCAAGCAAATTCAATGAAACAATAACTGATACTATAGAGAAGCAGCCATAAATTAGTGTCTTTATCAATTTGAAAGATATAAAAAAAAAACTGAATTTTGAGTTGTTCGATCAAATAAAGGGAAACTGGAATTCATAAATGCCTTAAAACTATTTCAAGGTTGACTTTTAGTTAGATTCATTTATGTAATGATCATTCAATTGCTTGTTGAGAAAGTAAAGGAGCAAACCACTTGGATAGTGAGAGTACAAGGGAAGGACTAGGGACTAAGTCTGCTTTTATTCATTTTCAAAAAGCATAAAAACACGTACTTTTGTATTATCAATTAGAAAGTCTTCCTTGTAGAAGATTATATCTACTAATGAACTTAACATAGAATACAAAAAGAAAATAAACATACCTTTATAGTTTAAAGTCATACTCATCTCAATGTTTATTAATTCCATCATATAATTGACATATTTTCAACTATTCAAGTCTCCAGAACCCGAACATAACAGTGTAATGAACATCCAACACAATAAAAGAATGGACGTCTTATACTTTAGTCATATTCATCTCAATGTTTATCAATAGTATACAAGAATTAGTCATCGCTGTGGATTTTTCTTAGCCCCCATTGGGGGGAAATCAGCAGAAAAAGAATTGTAAGCCTCCAACTTCAGAAAACGCCTCACCACCAAAAATCAAAATGATTTCTCAACTCCTCTTATCCTTCTGTCTTCTTTCATTACATGCCTTGAGAGCCTGAACTTCTGCAACCAACCAGTTTTCAAATAAATTAGAAAGCAAAAACAATTCAACACGTATTTTTTAAATTTCCCTGACCGTATTTATCAAACTGATATTTTAAACAAGGGAATCTCAGTACACACATAAGTGTGCACTTCTGTCATAATGAATCACAAGCCGGATGAAAATATGCACATGTGATTCTGAGTAGAGATCCCGGTATACTATGTTCCAATCCGCCACTTAAACTATTTCTTAATATTCCACTTAACTTGGATACTGTATTAATAGCTATGTTACATGAACTCTCCAAAGATGTTGCTGAACATGTGCCGGATCTTCCAAAAATATAGTACTTTTGAAGGATCCGACACACACCCAACAACATTTTTGAAGAGTCTAAATAACATAGACTAACAGTGGTAGAGCTACCTATTAGGAAGGGGTTCAATTGCATCCCTTTCGTTTAAATAGTATTATATTGCATAAAGAGGGTAAAAATAACACTCAAGGGTGTGACCTAGTGGTCAATAAAGTAGGTTGAGAACCATGAGGTCTCAGGTTCAAACTAGGTAATTTCTTTCCATTTGTCACAAAATTTGATGGACAAGAGGTACGTGGTACATATGTTGGTGGGAGACGATAGGCGCAAGCTGGTCCGGACGCGGTTTTTAAAAAAAATGGTAAAATAATTTTTGTTGTATATCTATACATTATTGAATACCCTTGACAAGCGGTAAATGTTGTATTCTAGCATTTTTTGAATCCCCTTCCTGGTTCTGCCAGTGCGTACTAAAATACGTAGGTTTCATACAACCACCACAACTACCACTGCACATATGCTATATGAATCCTCATTATTCATGTCGCTCGATTTAAGCCATAAGCTTTTGTATTTTGAGTAGAAATTATTATGACCCTTGTTACTCGTTTTCATCATGTTGTCTAAGATAATCTATTCAAAACTAATCTCAGTTTGATCCCCTAAAGCAGAAGCTATAATAACAACAAAGAGAGCAAACGCAAACCACTAAAAGATTCCTAAATTTTGCATTCCAATTTAAATACTGTATTTTCTCTCTTTCTAAATACTAAAACTCGTATTCATCAACCAAAAACTTGAAGAAAATACTCATTTGACACTAATGGAAAGAACAAAATTTCAAGCAAAATAGAGTGGGAAACAATAGAAGATACCCTTTTGACAAGACTTCCAATTCCTGTCAGTATTTATCAGACAATCCTGCAAATATAAACCCTTTGATTAGTTCCATTTCAGGGTTTAGGGTTTTAGAATTTAATACTATTATTTTCTAAAAGTGAGAATTTTAAAATATTTAAAGAACCTGTAAAGATAAGTAGAGAGAAGAGCATTGGTTGAGCTGCTTCACAGTTTCATCATCTTCGTCGGTGTTGTCCTGGTGCACAGACGGCGGCAATGATGGCAAAGAGGGTGGCGCGTTGGGAGTTTGCTTTCGGTCCATATATGTTGGCTGAGTCTTGGTCATCAATGGTTAGCTACTTTAATTGGGACAATGTTTTAGTGAGTCATGGACCATATAACAACAACAACAACAACAACCCAGTATAATATCACTAGTGGGGTCTGGAGAGGGTAGTGTGTACGCAGACCTTACCCCTACCCTGAGGTAGAGAGGTTATTTCCGATAAACCCTCAGCTCCCTCCCTCCAAGAACTTCCCACCTTGCTCTTGGGGTGACTCGAACTCACAACCTCTTGGTTGGAAGTGAAGGGTGCTCACCACTAGAGTCATTGACCATATAAAAGGGAGAAATTCAAAAATAACTAAATTTACAAGTCGTAATTAAAAGATAGCCACAGTTTCAAAAGTAATCGAAATTTAGCCACTTTTTATGTAAAAAATAAATTTGAATAAAAGCAATGATCAAAATCCGGAAATGTGCATAATATGATGGAGTTCGAATTTTTTACATATGAACTTCGAGCATAACATGCTGGAATTTCATAATGTGCTGGAATTTCAACATAATTTGTTGGAAGTCCATACAGAGGTGCTCCAATTTTCAGTATATTATGTTGGAACTTTCTGTGTGCTGGAGTTCCAACATAATATGCTGGAAGTCCATACACATGTGCTTCAATCTCCAGTATATTATGCTGGAAGTCTAGAACTTTCTGTGTTGCAGCAAAATAGTGGCTATTTTTCAATGACTTTGCAAACAGATACTATTTTTTAATTACCAGTCCAAAAACTGTCTAACCCATGTAATTTTGACCATATAAAAGCCCAATGGGACATATTGCAAATTTTCCAAACCTTTAATAGCAGTCTGTTCTCCCTTTTATTTAATTCTTTAATATATTTATTTCCAAATTGCACTAGCTAAATACTCTTTGATTGCAAAACTGGCACAGAATGAGATATTTTCAAAGTCAAAATTTTAGAAGACATTATCTACAAATGAGGAATTAAAGTGATAATTTGCGTTATCCAATAAAAGGAGAAAAAATATTTTACTTCAGAGCACAAGATTTGCTTCATTAATCAAAGTTGGGTAACACCGTTAATTTTTGAACACATTGTGTCATTGAGACTAAAGGTGCTCCACTTTAGCATACTTAAGGGATTAAATATGCTCAGGATTAAATTTGAGGGACCAAAATAGACATACCCTCAAAGATAAGGGACTGGCCAAAAACTCAAAATAAATATATAGAGCGTAAGACATTATTGGCAAATTCTAATAAGCTGAAGCCTCTTTAGGTTGCAATAATGTTAGTAATAAACTTATAATAGTGATAAAAAAGTTAAACTTTCAAAAATCCAAACACGATGAAGGGAGGAGGATAGTAGTCTTCATCAGCGACGAAGCCAGAAATAAAATTTCGTGAAGGGTACTCAAAATTTAATATACTCATAAAAAATAATTTTAGACATATATACACAATGTAAATTTTTATATACATGATATAATTTTTCGATTAAGGGTATTCGGTTGACCACCCTTCAATGTCTTCATGCAGAAATTACTTGCATGTGCTCGATATTTTCAAAACAAATAATTAAATTATAAGAATTATAAATTTAAATGGATATTATATTATTTAAGCATGATTAAGGAATAAAACTTTATATAATTGTTTATCTGTGATGAAGATCTGAGATTAACTCGATTGAAAGGAGAGGAGAAATTAGATCCACATAATAATCCATCACGATCAAAGCTGAAGCATCATCCTATTGGTCAAGCAAATTCAATGAAACAATAACCGGTACTATAGAGAAGCAGCCATAAACTAGAGTCTTGATCAATTTGAAAGATATAAAAAAACTGAATTTTGAGTTGTTCGATCAAATAAAGGGAAACTGGAATTCATAAATGCCTTAAACTATTTCAAGGATGACTTTTAGTTAGATTCATTTATGTAATGGTCATTCAATTGCTTGTTGAGAAAGTAAAGAAGCAAACCACTTGGATAGTGAGAGTACAAGGGAAGAAGGACCAAGGAAGAAGTCAATGGTTGCTTTTATTCATTTTCAAAAAGCATAAAAACACGTACTTTTGTATTATCATTTAGAAAGTCTTCGTTTTAGAAGACTATATCTACTAATGAAGTTAATATTTTTTAATAAAAGTATAAATAAAGTTACTTATCTACTATGCTTGGTATAAATTTGTGTCTGTAACTTCTCTTCCCGACCACATTCTTTCTCATAATAGATTATCTATTTCCATTCAGAAAAAAAACTAGCATTATTACTGTCTCCAGCAACCAAATCTAAAAGTGTAGTAAACATAGAATACAAAAAGAAAATAAACATACCTTTATAGTTTAAAGTCATATTCAAAACAACGGAATATGAAAATAACAACAATTAAAGCAAAACTAATGATAGATTTGATTGATTAAACCCTAAAAAAATTCTCTCTGCAGTTGAGGTTGAGAATGATCAGCTAGGCAAAACAGAGACAATAGAAAACAAGGTGAAGAAGGACAACAATCCAAGCTCACCTGGCGATAGGCTGGCGACGTCAGGCCTAAAGCCAGGCTCCCCGGAC